CAGCAGACACGACAGCAGCAGCAGCCGCACAGCAGCAGAGAGAACCGAACGTACAACAGCAGCACCAGCAACAGCAGCAGCAGCAGTAGCAGCAGCAGCAGCAACAGGGCTACCTTGGGGTTGAGTTTGAGGTCCTCCATTATGGGCTGTCCGTACACCGCAAACAAATGGTCCATCAGCATCAAGCAGCTGTAGCAGCACCTGCAGCAGCAGCAGTGGCAGCAGCAGCAGCAACAGTTGCAGCAGCAGCAGCAGCAGCAGCAGCAAGAGCCACTAGTGGCTGTTCGTTGCTTCTTGCTTTGCCGTCTTCTGTTGAGTCAGCATTTATTTTTATCTTTATTTTTATTTTTATTTTTATTTTTATTTCATAATCTGTGTATTTTAATTTACAAAAGGAACAAATTACAGAATTAATTTGTTTATTTATTTTGCTGCTTCTTCTTACCCCTCAAGCAGCAAAGGGCCCTGCGTGCGGGCGCTGAGCTGCTGCAGCAGCTGCTGCGGCAGACACAGCTGCAGCAGCTCGCAGCGCTGCTGCTGCTGCTGCCGCAGCAGCAGCTGCTGTCGCAGCAGCAGCAGCAGCTCGTGGTTCCGCAGCAGCTGCTGCTCCTTGACAGTTGCGTCGTGTGTCTCTTCTGCTGCAGCATCTGCAGCAGCAGGGGATGGCTCTCCTGCTGCTGCTGCTGCTGCTCCTGTGTGCAGCATAAAGACACGCTGCCAGCGGGGCACTGCTACCTGCTGCAGCTGCTGCAGCTGCTGCTGCTGGTGCTGCAGCTTCTCCCGCAGCGCCTCCTCTGTGCTGCGCTGCAGCAGCAAACAACAAACACAAGCAGCAGCAACAGTAAATGAAGGAGGGAGATCCACTAGCTGCAGCAAATACAGATGGGCAGCAGCAGCAGCAGCAGCAACAGCAGCAGCAAAGACGAATGAGGGACAGCTGCAAAGCAGCAAACGGCAGCGAGACAGTTTGAGAGGTAGCAGCGAATACATCCAAACATCGGCAGCAACAGCCGCAGCCGCAGTTGCTGCTGCTGCTGTTGCTGTTGCTGCTGCTGCTGCTGCTGCTGCTGACACTTGTAGTTTGCTGCTCTTTGTAAAGTTTGCTGATGCGCTGGAAGGCCGAGTGGTAGACAGAGCGTTGCTTAGAGACCTCACGCAGCTGCTGCTGTTGCTGCTGCTGCTGCTGCAGCAGCTGCTGCAGCAGGAGCTGCTGCTGCTGCTGCTGCTCCTCCAGCTCCTGCAGCAAGCTCTGGTCCTCTGCTGCTGCTGCCTGCAACAGGAACAGCAGCACCAAATAAAAATAAAAGATATAAAGATACGAAAAAGAATAAAATGAAAAACAAAAAGAGAGAAATAAAATGAAATGAAAGTCCCAAAACAAAGCAGCTGCAGCAGCAAAGACGAAACAAAAAAGGAGAAAAAGAGAAAAAGAAATTAAAGTAAAACAATTAAAGAAGAAAAAGAAAACAAAAGGAGACAAAAGGGGAAAAAAACCTACGTGGAGTCTCTCTATTTGCTGCTGCTGCTCAGCGACTTGCTGCTGCAGCATTGCTGCTTCTACTGCTGCTTTGTGTCTCTCTTCATGTGCAGAGACCAGCAGCTGCTTCAGCTGCTGCGCTCCCTGCAGCCACGCAGCAGCAGCAAATAACCAGACCATGTGCGCTGCTGCTGCTGCTGCAGCTGCTGCAGCAGCTACTGCTGCCCCTCGCTCAGTGCCGCTGCCGCTGCTGGAGTTGCTGCAGCAGAGCGGCTAACGGGCAAGCCCAGAAGCAGCAGCAGCAGCAGCAGCAGCAGCAGCAGCAGCAGCAGCGACAGCAGGACGAAAGGTGCAGCAGCAGCACCAGCAGCAACAGCAGCAGCTGCAGCAGCAGCAGCAGCATAGTGCCTACGCGTTCAAATTCTTTTGCCTCTGTCTTTTTCAGCTGCTGCAGCTGCTGCTGCATGATCTGCTGCTGCTGCTTCAGAGCAGCAGCTTCCCGTGTCTGCTGCTCCGCTAGCTGCTGCTGCAGTCTCGCCACCTCAAGCTCTCTGTCTGTCAACTGTAAATAACGAAGAAATCCCAGAACCCTAAACCCTAAACCCTAAACCCTAAACTCTAAACCCTAAACCCTAAACCCTCGCAGTCTGCTGTGAGTCTCCAGCCCTCGGCACTGTCACCCAAACCCTGCGCGCTGCGCTCCAGCTGCCTCCGTGAACGAGTCCCCGCCAAACCGTAAACCCTAAACCCTAAACCCTAAACCCTAAACCCTTACTTGTAGTTCTAGCTGCAGCTTGACGTCCTCAGCTCTCGCCTTTTCCTTCTCGAGGCTTTCCAGCGCCAACTCCTTTTCCACAGCAGCAGCTTCTATTGCTTCCTGCAGCAGCAGCAGCAGCAGCAACAGCAACACAGCAGCAGCTACAGTTACACCAGCTTCAGCAGTAGCCGCAGCAGCGTAGCAGCAGCAACGTGGCCGCAGAAGCGAAAATGCAGCAGCAGCAGCAGCAGCAGCAGCCGCAGTAGTTGCAGCAGTTGCAGCTGGAGCAGCAGCAGCAGCAGCAGCTGTTGCAGTAGCAGCAACGGCAGTAGCAGTTCGACGGCAGCAGCAGCAGCGGCTGCTGCTACTGCTGCGCCTGTCCCCCCGGTGTAGCTGCGCCACGAAGCCCCGCCCCGTCTAGTAGCGAGGGTTTAGGGTTTAGGGTTTAGGGTTTAGGGTTTTCTTACCTCTAGTTCTGCGGCCTCATCCCTGAGCCTTTGCAGCTGGACTTCGAGCTCATCTCGTTCCTAAACCCCACACACAGAAGCAGCAGCAGCAGCAGTTGCTGCTGCTGCCAACAGAATACAACGTGCAGCAGCAGCAGCAGCAACAGCGGAGGAAAAAGCGGCAACTGCAAGGCTGCAGCAGCAGGGCCGTCAGCAGCAGCACCCGCTACGTAACAGCAGCAGTGAAGGAGTCTGCAGCAGCAGCAGGAGCAGCAGAACCACATGCAGCAGTAGAGCCACATGCAGCAGCAGCAGCAGCAGCAGCAGCAGCACAGGCGCACTCTTCTAAGACTCTCCATTTCAGATGTCTCTTCTAGGCCGCGGTCTCTAGACAGTTCTGCTGCTCTCAGTCGCGCAATTTCGGCTTCGGCCTCCTCCAGCTGCAGCAGCAGCAGCAGCAGTAGCAGCAGCAGCAGTAGCGGCAGCAGCAGCAGCAGCAGTAGCAGTAGCAGCAGCGGCAACGGCGATGCCACAGCAGCACAAGTGGTGGCACCCCAGTGGCAGCAGCAGCAAGACTCTCAGGAGGCGCACACATCAAGAAGGAGCAGCAGCAGCAGCAGCAGCGACCGCAGCAGCAACAGAAGCAGCAGCAGCAGCAGCAGCAATATCGAACCTTCTTATTCAGCTCCAGATGAGCAACCCTTGCTGCTTCTGCTCCTGCTGCCAGCAAGCGGCTGCTGCCAATGCCGTCGTGGGACCCCAGCAAACTTCTGCCTGCTGCTGCTGCTGCTGGTGCTGCTGCTGCTCCTTCTGTTGCTGCTGCGCCCTTCGGTGGGCTCTCTGCTGCAGCTGGTGCTGCTGCTGGTGAGTCAGAGTCTGTTGCTGCTGCGGTTATGCGGAAAGAAGGTGCCTTTGCTGCCGGAGCTGGTGCTGCTGCTGCTGGCTGAGCTTCTGTGTCTTCGGATGCTGCTGCTGCTGCTGCTGCTGCCTCAGCAGCAGCAGCTGATTCCTGAGCAGACAACTGATCTGCTGCTGCTGCTGCTGCTGCCTCCGCCGCAGCCTTTTCTGCCGCTGCTTTCTCATTCTCTTCTTCTCTTGCTGCTGCTTCAGCTTCTGCTGCTGCAGCTTCTTCTGCTGCAGCTGCTGCTGCTTTTGCTCTGCTGGCTGAGCTTCTGTGTCTTCGGATGCTGCTGCTGCTGCTGCTGCTGCCTCAGCAGCAGCAGCTGATTCCTGAGCAGACAACTGATCTGCTGCTGCTGCTGCTGCTGCCTCCGCCGCAGCCTTTTCTGCCGCTGCTTTCTCATTCTCTTCTTCTCTTGCTGCTGCTTCAGCTTCTGCTGCTGCAGCTTCTTCTGCTGCAGCTGCTGCTGCTTTTGCTGCTGCAGCTGCTGCTGCTTTTTCTGCTGCTTCATCTAGTTTAGCTTGTTCATCAGCTGCTGCTGCTGCTGCTGCTGCTGCTGCGTTTGGTTGTTCTGCTGCGTGGTCATTTGCTGCGGCAGGAGTGTCCGCAGCTGCAGCAGCTTCCTGCTGCTGCTGCTCGGCAGTGGCCTTCACGTCGTCCGCTGCTGCAGCGCCAGCTGCAGCAGCAGCTTCTTGCTGCTGCTGCTCCTCCAGCAGCTTTGCTTCTTCTGCTGCTGCAGCATCAGCAGCTCTTGTCTCATCATCTGAATAGAATTCATCTTTTTCAGGGTCTAGTTTGTAGTAGCGGTTGCTGCCCTCGTCCCAGTAGAGGTCCTCGCTCATCTTGCTGCTGCTGCTGCTGCTGCTGCTAGTCCTGCTGCTGTCGTTTGTGCTGCTGCTACTGCCGCCGCTGCTGCTGCTGCGCGCGCGGGGCTGAGGCGCTTACATCTAGGGAGGGATAAGCCGTTGCTGCTGCTGCTTCTAAGGCGGCGGCGCCTGCTCGGTTAGCAGCAGCTTCTGCTGCTGCTGCTGCTGCTGCAGTGGACTCAGCCACTGGTCTGCACACAAGGGCTGCCGGAGCTGCTGCTGCTGCTGCTGCTCCTTCTTTCAGTGTCAACTGCAGTTGCATAAAAATGCTGCCTGCTGCTGCATCTGCTGCCAGGTGTTCTTCTGCCGTTGCTGCGGAATTGCTGCTGCAGTTGCTGCCGACGCCGTTGCTACTGATGCTGCTGCTGCTGCTGCTGCCATCTGGAACGCCTTACTAGCAGCAGCTGTTGCTGCTCCAGCTGCTATATATTATCTTATATTAGTAGAAATTTACTTCTTTGAATTTGCTGCTCCTGGTCCTGAGGAACGCCTCGCGGTCCGCCGCCGCCGCCGCCGCCGCTGCTGCTGCTGCTGCTGCTGCTGCTGCTGCTGCTCAGACGTCGCTGGAGTCCTGCAGCTCGATGAAGGAGTCCAGGGTCTCGTTGAGCTCGTGGACTTCGCGCTGAAGAGCTCCTCTTGTCTCGTGAACTTCTTTGAGGGTTTCTCTCATGGGGGAGGGACTATAAGGGTTTTTGACGGCCAAGATGAGGTCCCGCAGCAGCTCGAGCTTCTCTGCTGCTGCTTCCAGCCGCGCATGCAGCAGCGACTGCCGCCTGCGCTGCCCCCGCTGCTGCTGCTGCTGCTGCCGCTGCTGCTGCTGCTGCGGGGGGTGCTCGGCGCCGTGCGCGGCCGCGGCCGAAGCGTCGCCGGGCTGCGCCGCCGGCGCTGCGGCTCCTGCTGCTGCTGCTGCTGCTGCTGTTGCTGCTGCGGCCTGCTGCACCCGCTTGCGCATGCACTCCAGCTGCCCCTTCAGCTGCCGCACTTCTTCCAGGTATTTACTTGTCAACAAGTCGAGGCCTTGCATGCCACTTTCAAGCAGCTCTGCTGCTCTTGCTGCAGCAAGTTGCACTCTTGCTGCTGCTGCTGCAGCGGTGTTCAGCGCAGCAGCAGCCTCGCTGAGGCTCTTGGGCACCTGCTGCCTGCGCTGCTGCAGCGCCGCGCGCTCCTGCTGCAGCAGCAGGCTCTGCTGCGTTGCTGCTGCTGAGCAGCTCAGCAGGTGCTGCTGCAGCGACCCAAACCCTAAACCCTCGTTTCCATGAGCCACCAAAGCTGCTTCATAACTTTCTCTCAAAAACTTTTCATAACCAAAAACCTGCATGCACTTTTCTGCTGTTACTTTCCTCACGCTGGCTTCGACAGCAGCAGCAAGTTCTCCCATTTCTGCGGAGTTGTCCTTCAGCAGCCGCCGCGCAGCAGCAGCCACCTGCTGCTGCTGCTGCTGCTGCTGCTCCGGGCTCGTCTCCAGCAGCAGCTGCAGGTCCGCCTCCGTCGCCTGCGCCTGCCGCAGCAGCTGTGCTGCTTCCGCCTCCAGACCCACGGGCTGCAGGAACAGCAGCAGCTGTTCTGCTGCAGTTATTAATTTGCAAAGACTTGTTTGGTCATATTGTTCTGCAACAGCGAGGGCCTGCAGAGTCTGCGGGTCTTCTTTGGGGGTCCCCGCGAGTTCGGGGGCCCCCAGGGCCCCCTGGGGGGCCCCCGGGGCCCCGGTGCCCTCGGGAGCCCCGGGTGCCCCCCAGGGGCCCCCGGGGGCCCCCGCAGGGGCCCCGCCCTTCAATAAACCCTCTCGGAGGCCCCTCCTTCCCGAGTTTGCACCCACTAAGAACATTAAGGAGCCGAAGGCAACCAAGACACAGATCTGCAGCAGCAAGGTGCGGTTCAGCTGCCGCTTGGGAGCAGCAGAAGCAGCAGCAGCAGCAGCAGAGGAGGCGTTGGAACTCGCGGGGTCCAACGCCGTGGAGGTGAGGGGCCCCCCGGGGGCCTCCCCACTTTCGGTGTAGAAAGAATAGGGGCCCACATAAGAAGCAGCAGCAGAGGGGGGCCCCACAAGCAGCGGGGCCTCGGCCTTGGAGACCCAGCTGGGGCCCAGCATGTCGTACACATTGGTTTCGGTGTACGTTGCTCTTGCTGCTGCTGCTGCTGCTGCTGCTGTGGTGCCCCACAACAGCAGGAGGGGCAGCAGCCCGAGCCCACCCATTTGACGCAGCGCAACGGAAGGCGCGGGACGGGCCCAAACCCTAAACCCTAGCTTAGGGAGAAGCAAGAGAAGGCAAGGGGGAAATCCTGGGGGTTAGCAGTGCTTCCTGGGAGCCCCGCTGCGGTCGGCAAGGGGCCCTCGGGGCCCTTCTAGGGTTTAGGGTTTAGGGTTTAGGGTTTGGGGCTCATACTCTGCAGTGGGAAGGACGGTCTACACGCGGCGCTGCTGAAGCCGGGCAACGGCTACGGGCAGAACTCGCGGCGGGCAAGCCACAGGGCCCGAAGAATGGAATGAATTGAAATAAAAATAAATGCATTTATCAATTTAAATACCTTTCTAAACCTGCAAGTCGTTTTTAAAGAAGGATAGGCAAGGCGTGGGCTGCTGGGGCTGCTGTAGAGGGGGCTGGGTTCCCAGTGGCAGCCCGAGCATCTTCCTCTCGTCTTGCTAGCTAGGGTTTAGGGTTTAGGGTTTGTCTCAAACCCTTCCCCCCTCATTTCTCGCCAAGTTCAAGGCTTCATTTGCAGGGTTTTGCTGCTTCTTGCTGCTGCTTGCATCTGTTTTCGGTGATTTGCTGCGTCGGCGTTTGCTGCTGGTTTCGTGCTTTGAAACTCACAGGCACAACGGGCAAGAGGGCAGGGCTTGTTTCTCGTGGCTGCCTGCGGTTTAGGCTTTAGGGTTTGTGGTTTAGGGTTTGGTTCTCGGGGCCTGGAGTCAACGAGATTCGCAACTCTTGTTCTCGCCTAGCTCCGCAAGCAAGACACATGGAGTGTCTTTTGTGAAGACATGGAGAAGGCAAAACAGTTTTTAATTCATTTTTTCTGTTTCTTTATCTAAATTGAAAACTCTCTGGGTCTGAAGTGCTTCAAAACGAGCCAAACGGAAATCTGCAAAAGCTCTAGTGTTCTGTGCACGTTACCCGCACGGAAGCACCAGAAGGCGGTTAGGTTTTAGGGTTTGGAAATTAGGGTTCGGGGCTCACAAACTAGGGTTTAGGATTTAATTATTAGGGTTTAGGGTTTGCGTCACGGCTTAGGGTTTACAGTTTCTTCGGAATGCAACTCAGGTCTGTGTTTGGGGTTCTGCAGAGAGTCTGTAAAATGTTAATGCACGCACACTCTTACGCATATAGTATATATATATATATAGAGGCTTATGAATATTACAAATATATATATATGTATAAACTCATCTATAAATGTATACCTCAATACCTGTACTGAGAAGAATATATTTGTATGTGCAGTTTGTTTGCAAGTACAGCTGCACCTCTGTGACTCCACGTTTATTAATTCGTCGCGTTCATTTTCGTGTCCTGATTGCCTCACAAAGCTCAGGGTTTAGGGTTTAGGGTTTAGGGTTTAGGTCGTATTTGTGGCCGGGCCAGTGGCCGGGCCAGCCAGGAAGTACCCGAAGAGGCTTCTGGCCTTAGCGTGCAATTCACAATTGGGGATTTAAAAACAGGTGCAGCAAAAGCGGCAGGCGCCTCAGCAGCAAAAGCAGCAACAGCAGCAACAGCAACAGAGCAGCAGCAGCAGCAGCGACAGCAGCAGGGAGGCCGGCAGGCCCATTAGTGCCCTTCAGCACAGCTACCCGCAGTCATTGCTGCAGGCCCTTGCTCGGTGGCGTTGTTTATGAATCAGGGTTTGGGGTTTAGGGTTTAGGCTTCAGGGTTTACAAAGTGTTCAAAAGAAGCCTTATGGTTTCCAATAAGTTCCTATGGGCTCTCCGGGAAATATCAGCTCAGCTCGATTTCCCAAACTCTAAACCCTAAATTGGGGGATAGCCACAGAATACGCCTGAGGCCTCCTTTGAGCAGGGCATTTGCAGTACTCCGCTTGAGACGAGGACGCCTGCTGCTGCACTTGCTGCTTGTACTGCTGCTGTTGCTGCTGCTGTTGTTGTTGCTGCTGCTGCTGGAGTTTGTGTCTCAGTCTAGAACTGGTATTTCTTCGACTTCCTCTGCAGCCTCCGCAGTGGGGTCTGGCGGAGCCTGTTTAGGGGCGGCACAAACAGGAAAAATTTGGGACTGCATGCGTTTATATTTGTATCTATATATTTATATTTATGCTAAATATTTATTTATGAACGCCAATTTAGTTGCATTTATGCGCATGCAAGAAGCTGCCGTATGCGCAAGTGTTTCTTTATGACTGCGCAGCGCCCAGGTGTCTGTACACTTCAGCCTTGCATGCGTGCGAGCTCATTATTTTCTCGCTTTTCTTTATTTCACTTCTCAATTAGTTAGTTTAGCTGCTGCAGCTGCGCCCAAAGATCGGCCTAACAATGTATTCTTGCTGGGGCTCTGAGAGGAACTGTCAGCACTTTTAAAAAGCCCCAAAACGCTGCATGCAACTCCTGAAACTCACATGCATCGCCGCATGCCTCAGTATTGCAGCGCGAACGTCTAGCTGCTTCAGCTCAGCCTGCACACAGCAGCAGCAGCAGCGGCAGCAGCAGCAGCAGTGGCAGCAGCAGCAATAGCAGAGCAGCCTGCGCCTTTAAGCCATGCAAGAAAGGGGAGAAGGGAAAAAACCCTCACTCTTTTCCTGCCAGCAAACAGCTCGCAGCAGCTAGCAAGTTCGCTCTTAGGGTTCAGGGTTTAGCGTTTAGGGTTTAGGGTTTAGGGTTTAAGATTTAGGGTTTTTGCTCGCCTTCAGAGCTGCAATAGTGTTGGCAAGCGAGGCTTTGGGTCTGGAAGTGACCCTAAGGTTGGTGGCTTCCTCAAGTGCCTCTGTGGCTTCCTTGACTTTCTCCTCGTTCTGCTGCAGAACGAGTTTGAGGGACTGCAGCTCAGCCTGCAGCTGCTGCTGCTTCTCTGCTGCTGCTGCTTGCTGCTGCAGCGCCATTTGCAGCTGGGGGAACTGCGCACACACATCAAGCCCAGCCAGAACCCACACTGCAGAGGGACCCTACATTCTCTATTTTGAATTGTATTTTATATTTTAATTGTATTTTATTATGCCTACTGTGGATGAGGTGTACGTACACCTAAGAACACATGTGTCACCCTGCATTTAGATCCATGCATAACAGGGAACTCGCGAAACGTTGAGGTGTATGTACACCCATGATAGGGTGTACGTACACCCGCGCACGCGTGCAGTGCTGCAGACGTGAGAGCGCATGCAGCGCCGGGGTGTACGTACACCTCACCAGGTCTGGAAACGCCCTGCAGGCTGCAGCTTCCCTCTGCCTGAGGGCCCCCAAAAGGGCCTCTGCTTCTTCAACTAGCCGGGGCAAAAGGGTTTCCAATCTTCGCCGCAAACCCTGCAGCTCTGCCTGTTTAGCTTGCAGGCTCCGCTGCTGCTGCCGCCATATCAGGCCTAGTGGGGGGCCCCCCGTGCTGCTGGGGTGCCCCCTCACAGCAGCAGCAGCAGCGGAAGCCCAGAGGGCTTCTTGCGCCCTCTGCAGGTCCTCTTCGCTGACCTGCAGCCCAGCAGCTCAATTCCATTTTAAGGGATGAAGTCCTTACTAAGGTCTTAGCAGTGGCGAGGGCAAACCCTAAACCCTAAACCCTAAACCCTAAACCCTAAACCCTAGATGGTGAGTTGTACTTCATCAAATTCGTCCGGTGCAGCGCTGCCTGCTGCACTGCTGCCCTCTGCATCCTTTGTGTCCTTTCCCTGGAAAAAAACAGAAATGCAGAAAGTTGCATTTATTTGATAATGAAGAGCCATTGGCCCTTTCTTTTGTTCTTTTTTGCAAATTTCAACAGCAGCAATCATCGAAAAACATATTTTGCTGTTACCTTTTAATTTGCATCCGGGGACAAGGAAAGGTCTTCACAATGTAGTGTAGGCGTACCGGAGTTTGCTGTGGAGCTGCTGCGGCTTGTTCCGTAGTAGCTGCTGCTGCTGCCGCTGCTGCTGCTGGGGCTGCTGCTGCTGGCGTTGCTGCACTTGCTGCCTCTGCTGCTGCTGACGCGCGAGCTGTGAAGCAGACGGAAGGGGAGAAAGAAAGGCGGCAGCGCTTTGCGAGCTGCGCTGCCGCCACCCCAAAAGCAGCAGCAAAAAGCAGCAAATAAAATTTCATTTTATGTCAACTCTAATCGCTTTATTAGGCCCCTCCGCAGGGCCCCGTCGCAGGGCCTGTACCGACACCCCAAACCCTATCCTTTCACTGCGCTGCTGCTGCTGCTGCTGCTGCTGCTTCTGCTGCGCAGCCTGCCCACCTTCTGCAGCAGCCAGTATAGCAGCAGGCTTGCCTGTCCTCCCTGGGCCTGAATGCCACCCACTGACAAATCCAAAGAAGATATAATCGAGACTTTGGAAGTTATGTTCTGAAATTAGGGTTTAGGGTACACGGCTGAGTCCTCAGGGCCTAATTCAGGGTTTTGTTTTCTATGCTGAGCCTCACCCTGAAAATCTCATTTGCAGACAACGCCATGGGGGCCTCCAGCTTTACAAGAGACACTTCTGAGAAGCAATAACTCACAAACTGCAAATCTTTTGCTTCACAGAATGTTGTGAAGACGAAGAAGGAGGAGTTCCTTTGCTGCTAGTGGCTATAGCATAGCGCGTACGGGGGCCCCAGGAACACTCTAGGGGCCCCCAAGGGTCCAACTGGCCCTCTCTATACTCTTTGCTGGAATATTTAGACCTTATGAACATTCTCCGATTTCCCACTGCCTTTGTGCTGCTTGGAAACTCCTTGGGGGCCTCCAGCAGGTCCCTGCCACCCCTTACAGGCACAGCTAGGTAGCAAGGGGCCCCCTAGAGTCCCACAGAAGGGTTATCAGGGGCCCCTGGGGTTTGCAGGGCTGTTTACCTATTGCTTTGCATGCAGCTTGAAGGTCTTCTGGGTCTAGTGGAGGTATGGGACAGCCCAGCAACTTCAGCAAGTAAAGACACATGTTGATAAAGAGGCGCAAGTCGGCTTGTTGCTGCTTTGTGTCATCGGGAGAGGAGGCAAAGGCCCAGGGGCCGAATTCGGGGAATTCCCTGGAACAGATCGCATGCATTTGTTGGAGCCTGATTATTTTGGTTTATTTCTGTCGGAATTTATTTAGCATTAAGCCTAATCTTGACGCGTACTGCTGCCACTTGAATTCCATCTCGCCTAAACTTGCCAATGCCTGCCACTAATTTAGTAATCTAGTTATTTCGTAGTGCTACAAACAAGAATTTCTGCCTTTGAATCTTTCACGGGCCTTTCAAACGGATTCAGCACTTCAAAGATTTCATTTTTTCATCTGCGTGCCTTGCCGTGTTGTTCAATAGCCTTCTCTGTTTCTCTTTATTGAAATTCAGGCTTGAAACGCGTTTTCTACAACCATTCTGCAGGTTTTTTACACTTGTTATTAATATTTTTCGTTAATTCTTCGAGGAATACAACAAATATTAGCTTGGAAACAATACCTTCTGATGCGGGTTTGCCGGTGTTCATCTAACGCGGTCGCCAGCACACTGGCTTCCCATAGAAGCCAAGTGCTGTCATGTGTTTCTGCTTTATTTGTCTCCACTTTCTTTAATTCTGATTTATTTGTCTCTATTCTGTTCTCCCCTGATAAATGTTTTCCGGCTCCGTCCCTGCCGCTGACGCTGGAGCTTGCAACCATTTTAGGGGCAGCGCATACGCTCTAATCACTGCCTAAGGAAACGCAGCAGCTACAGCAGCAGCAACAGCAGCAGCAACAGTGGCACACTATCAGCAGCTGCAGCCAGGACGCAAGATCAGCCAACTGTGACATGTACTCATCGGCAGAACGTTCTGAAAAACGGTGAAAAAGAGTGAAAAGAGCGAGGGAAAGTTAAGCATTGGTGAGTATTGCAAATTGAATATTATTTGAAGACAGACAGACCTGTAGTGCAAGCAAATGCAAATGCGCGAGGGCGGATCTGGTACTGACCTTGCTTCTTTTAGCCCATGAAGCGATGCTTCAGGGTTTGAAGTCGATGTGTGAATTCAGATTCTGTAATTTCCTTCCATGAGTACGCTGATCACTTGGAACTCGCATTAGAATTGGTCATTTGTCTTTTCCACAGAGTTTGCATCCAGGAAACTGGCGTTATCTGCAGCCACAGTCGCATCCCCCTATGCAAAACCTACTCTTGAACCCTGAACTGTACATTCGAAGCTTGCAAACACTAACCCTAAACTTATTCGACTTCTCCAGTACAACACGTTCTATGTAAAACTATTTAAACAGCCATAGGTTTATATTCAATCACATACTCGCATAGAAGGCCAAGTAGTGATGCCCTTAGCGTCCACTTTCCCGAGCTAGTGTAAGATATAGTTGTAGTATGAGGCTCTGTGCCTGAGTTCGGGCTTGGGGGCTCTTGAAACTCAAAGCTTTGTTGCAAATCCCAAGGTGTTAGTTGCACGAATTGTAGTTAAGTTGTATGTAAACGCCAACTTAGGTGGCTTTGTAAAGATCTACGAGGGACAGGGAAGAGTTTCTCGGTGCACCTCTTGTAGCCGCAAACGGTCAGGGTTAGGACGCTCAGTGAAATAACAGAAAAAAGGACCCTAAAAAGCAAACGAAATAAATTCAACCAAAACAAATATGCATTTCTTTCTCGATTCATTAGATGGATTGGGCAACTCGCATGCGCTAAGAGCCCCACGGTCACCTGGGCACCAGTCGTCTCAAGTCTCGTCAGTCTCCACACACACAAGCCTGAATTAGAATAAATTAATTTCATCACCTGTAATATATAATCTGAAATATTTAGATATACCGGAGGCCAAAAACCAGGCGGTGAGTGAGTGTGGAACATTGCAGATTCTCTCTCCATATTTACACTAACAGAAGGCAACGTACGCGCATACAAAGAACAACAACAATGACACGGCAGAAAAGCAGAAAGCAACATTGCATTTTGACTGTAGAAGTTTACTCAAAGATAATAGCGTTGTTGTCATTTACAGCGAACAGTACTCCGGCGCTTTGCTGTTCGTCATTCTGAATCCCTCAATTACCGACTTTAGGCCGTGAGCCACAAACAAGTTAGCCCTTATTTTTGTGTGAAAATTAAGGAGATATTAAACATGTTTCTCAATACCGTAAATGAAACAGCCCTTTTGCTTTTAAATTACTCTTTGTTACCTGCCAGCTAATACATGGCTGTACCTTTTCACGCACCGTTGACTGAAACAGAATGTTCGAACTACTTGGCGGCTCGCATCAGGCAGCGATAAGAAGCAGTATATCAGCAATAGTGAGCCTTTTTGTGCGCCTTTCTTTCAGTTTTTCTGTGAGTCCTGCCAAAATGAGGGAAGCGACATTTCCGCAGATGATGAGGGGGCGGGTAGACGTGAAGAAACTGAAATTTTCAACGACTGAGCTGAGGTCCCTAGCTCTTCAGACTCACTGTAAGAGACACAGAATGAACAGAATGAGAAACAACAGGCAAATGAACAACGGCACGCCCTGATTACGCTGTGTGCATTTTTGGGTTAGAATTACAATGCAGTCACAGATGCGGCACAAAATCTGCAGCAAAGCAGCGAATAGAGTCCTCCGCTTCGTCCATTTCTTTTAAACAAAGGTGTAGCTAGCAATTATTCCATCAAAAAAGTAGTTCTCTTGCTCTGTATGCTTTTGCTGCTTCCATGTGCTACGGATTTCAGTTTCTGTGGAGGAAGTTCAAGCTCTGTACAGTGGTAATAGCTGCTGAACTGGGCCCAAACACATGTGGCTGACTGCACGATTTTTGTAAATTCTTTGGTTCTCCTCGTATAACAGATCTACTAATTTTTATTTCGTGTTTATGCCGCAACAGGGTTCCGCCTACAGGCGGGGGAGCGCAAGCCCCTAGAAGGTGGACTAAGTGCTGTGAGCCTTTTGGGCCTATTCAATCTTTCAAACGCATGCAGTTTTGTCTTTGCCGACAGATTCGTTCGTCTTTTTTGGCAGCACAGGACACAAGACAGAGGAATAGAGATCGGTTTCGAGGAGTTTGTCCGCCTCCTCAGCATATGGACAAGAGGTCAGGCATATGTTTTAATGTTTTACCGCTTGTTATTCTTCAATGTTGATGTTAGACACTTCCGCAGTAGTATTTACGGGCTTTCATTTTTTGTTTTCGGGCTCAGAGCTAAAAATGAAGTGGTAAAGACTGAAGGGTTCTGGGTTAAGTCAAACTCACTGGGTTTGGGTTAAGGGTCCACCGATAAGGGGATGTTCACAAGCCCCTTAGAGTGAGCATGGAGATTTTTGTTATCGCGTCGTGTTCGCTGTACTGCAGGCACGCCTCATCAGAGGTTGACTTGTAAGACCATTGCAGCCTGCAGATTATCAGGGCTCACAGTTTCGGGAGTGGGGTTTGAACAGCAAGGGTTTCAAGGACCTCTCTCGATCATCTTATACAGCTCACGCTCACCACAGCGTGCACTTTATTTTTCCTTTTACAAGACTCTCTGTTCCTTTCTATTTTGCTCTGATGTTCTTTTTTTGTTTTGCTTGCAGTGCTGTTTCACATCTACGACAGAGGTAACAAAGGGTCAGTCAGGCCTTGGCGGAGTCTTCCCTTACTGTTTGGGACAAAAGTACACCAATGTTTTGCCTGAGGGCATAACACGCTAACCACTTTAGCAATAAGTGCTGTTTCCGTGCAGCTACATCGTGAAAGAAGACATAATTGACATAATGCGCTCACTCTTCATGTGTTTCCTGAAATCTGGCGTTGCTTCATATGACTGGAACTCTGAAGAGTTTAAAGCAAAGTGGGTCATGTAAACCGACAACTTTTTAATTTTAGTGTTTATCACCTGACACTTTACTTGTAAATTGAGAATTTGGCTAGTTTCAGGGTCTGCGGTATCAAAGTAACCATTCACGCTTATGTTTTCTTGCCTTCTCAGGGTTATACTTGAAAGACACTCCGAAGATGCCGTGAAGGAGTGAGTGAAGCCAGTCACACTAACTGCTGGACAAACCAAGGCAGCAGCAGAAGCAGCATTAGGGGCAGTAGCGGCAGCTCCAAAGCCACTGCTAAGTAGGTAACACCCAACAACACTGTGCGACGTTCAACAGGATGGCTCATGAAATTCTGTCAGAGTGGGCGGAGGCAGCAATAAGGTAAATGCACTGCGAGACCTGGTCACTGAATGTTTGAATCATTTTGCGCTTAAACGTAGGGCAGCCAGAAGTGTTAAAGCGGAATCCTGTCGCTATTCATCGGAAAGACCAGTCACGTTTGCAGATACAGCCAACCAGATAGAAAGTGATGCTGAAAGCCGTCTGCCGAATAACTCAAGTACTCGCAAATAAAGAAATTCCCTTGTTAGAATCAATAGAGCAGGCTTTTCAAAGAAAATGTCCTTCACCTCTCGTTGTCATTCCGCAGGCGCTTTCACACCGCAGACTCGAACAAGCTTTTGTGGTTTAACGGTACGTCATGTCCTCTGCATTAGCGCCACCATGAAATGTACTAGGTATTAGAATAAGCTACACTCTGAACGAGCAGATTCATACCAGCCAGCCAGCAGATGATGCTAGAGATCAGATGAATTGCATATTATGTGCGTACGATTGCTGTACTAAATCCGCACAATTGATGTTCCTTTGCACTGGTGGCCTCAGAGTTTTTGCAATGGATTATTCATGTTCCAGGGGTTGCAGAGAGCCTCTGCGTGCCAACTGATGTTTGGACTTGGCTCTTTCAAGAGTGAATCCTCTTCTTAAGGTACTCAGGCATAAGTATTTACGATTGGTTAAATACGAGCGTCGTCTTGTGCGGAAAGATTTTCGTTGCGCTATCACTGTTACAGTGAACACCGAAACTTCTCACCACTGCAGTTTCGAGCAGTGGGTGGTACAAAACTGCAAACCTAAACCCTCGAATTTGTTTTGCTTGGAAGCACGCAAAGTGTACTACGGTGTCCGTTCACCGTGGTCCGGGGCTCTCGTTTCACCTCGTCTCAGCTCCCCTTCAGATCGTGGCACTCGAATTTGCACCCGGCTCTCGTGAAAATGAAGCTAATATTTAGATCTAGCTTTCATTACAGCCACATTTATTATATATTTCTAGGGAAAGGGGAGGAGACGCGAATGAAACAGACTTGATAGCAGGAAGCTCAGCGCCAACAAAAACATAGCAGCGCTCCACACCAGCTCCACTTGGGCCACAATTGTACCGCGATTGCTAAAATCAGCTCTTCTGTGCTAAAATTGATTCCCATGAACTTCTTTGTAGGGGCATTCTCTGCAATATTGAGTAGATATTCCAGCTCAAGCTGTACCTGAGTGTGCCATGTGCTGCAAAAACGCTCAGAATTGCGGGGTAAAGTGGATAAAGAACTAATTTTGCTGCGCGTTCCACGACCTCCTCAGCGACTGTCTGTAAGAGCGCATCTAGATAATGGAACGACTCCAATTATCGCATAAGCATTCATTCAGGCCTTCACAGGCGCCCCCTCGGATTTTGCTCTTTTCGTCTAACAGGTGTCTCATACTTCCCTCTGAATTTGCACAAAGAAATAGAAAGCAGAAAACACCTGGCAGAAAGGATGTCGAAGCCCTTGGCCCACGACTCAATACTCGGTGCAGAAGGCGTTTTTAGCCGTACAGCCTCTGAGGGACCCTCACTGCATAAGATGCAACACGGTGTGTAGATGCTGCAATAGAGGAACAGCTTCATAGGTATGAGAACGTCAAGACGCGCTTGCTGTTGAATAGCTATGCTTGGATCGAGCTGGGGCATTTAGTCCATTGAAGACTCAAAAAGCCCACAGAATATAGGGCTGCGGCAGAGCAGGGCCAAATTCCTCTCCTAAAAGTGCCTTTGAGATCTGAAAAAATTAAATGGATCCACATTTTTATGGATTCCGCAGAGCGGTCTCTGTCTCAGCGCTTAGGCTAGCTTGGCAGATACAGTTACCTGCAAACTGTCGATGGCTGCCGTACTAGCTGTAATCCATTACATTTGTTGTTGCATTTATGTATTCATTCGACTTTTTGCCTTCCTGCATGTTTTTGTTACGTGTATATTGTGATTGAGCTGTGTAGATGCCCTCTGTTTTATTTCTTTGCACCAGCTGGCCCTTTGTCAGGTGCGCATTTGGCAGCAGTGGGGTCACCTGTGGGGCCTCCATTTACGGCGGTTTGAACTGTGGCCAGAAATGTACTTTTATTCTTTTTTGTTATACATATAATTTAATGTAATATATCTGAGGTGAATAGACACGTGAATGATTTAACCCAAGCTCTCTGCCTGAGTTGCGGAAAAAGCGACTCTGACTTGGTGCGCAGCAGCTTCTCATACGTCCACGTTGAAAACAGGGACAAATTTTTTTGAATTTTATGCATCTCACCTTTTTTAATTTGAATCTGTTTTGCAGAAGCTAAAGGCCATTCGTTTCTAGGTCCACAGACAGTCTTTATGGCCAGCGGTGTGGCCCTTCACCCCCTCAAACAGCATTGAATATCTCGGCCAGTAACAATGGATACGGTTTGCTCCGAATATACCTTATTAACCCAATCATCTCTTGCTCGCTAGTGTAGTTGCCTCAAGGCCTTGTAATCTTCAGCGCAGCTTAACTAGGCGGGAGCCGCCGCTCATTGCTTGAGTTTGACGCTTATGGTGAAGCGCCAATCAATCATTCCGCTTGCCACAAAAATCAGTCCTTCAAGCCTTCTCCTCACGTTTCTTTAATTGCATTCAATATGAATGAATACTACTACACGTACTCCAAACTCCGCCAGGAGTTTGGGCGCCATTGCTCCTTCAGCCCTACAGAGCCCCGTATTCTTGGGGTAATTGACCCTAATCCGGAGCAAATGGAACAGCTGATACCTCAAAACCCCCGCAATTTTTGTGGCGACACATTAATAGAGCTATCTGAGCACACCGTGAACACGGGCAATGTCAGTGTCTGCGGCAGGGGGATGAGGCACGTAGAAGGAGGTTGGCCGAAAGAAGTTGATCCCACGGACCCGCAAGAAGTAGCCAAGTGGAAAAAACGAGCAGAAAGAGACCCTGCATTTTTACAGAGCGTTAAACAGCTGACAGCTGACTGCAGCCGCGTGCTACAACAGAACCTCGTGGTTGATCTTTTTGAAGATTATTTTAAAGGCTCAGAGACCTCGAGAGGGAGCGAGCAACGTCTCTACGCGAAATCAATTGCCCTTCTTAAGGACAGTCTAGGACAGGGTCAAAGATCCGTGACATGCATTGCCTGGCATCCTGAAGGTCCCCAGAAGCTTGCTGTCGGTTATGGCGTGATGGAGTTCCCGGGACAGCCAGAGTCGCTTCCAACATCAGCTTTGCTTTGGGACCCGAGCCATCCAAGCAATCCGGTAGCGGAGCTAGGAACTTCAAGCCCGGTCGTTTCGTTGGCGTTCAACTCTAAAATTTCAGATCTGCTAATTGGGGGTTGCTACAACGGTGTTGTGTGCTTGTGGGACCTGCGTAAGGGGATGAAGCCAGTTGAAGTGTCTTGCTCTGGCAGCAGCCACTACGATCCTGTATATGAGGTCGTCTGGACGCAAAGCAAGACGAACAGTGAGTTTGTCTCAGCGTCTACTGACGGCAGAGTCTTATGGTGGGACTGCAGGAACCTGAAGGAACCGGTTGAAGAGTGCCGCCTCACCCCACCGCCCCATTCCACTTCAACAGCTAGTGCAGGATCATCTCAAGTAGGAAATGAACAGGAAGAAAGCGAAAATACAAAACTTTTGGGAGCAATATCGCTTGCTTGGTCTCTAGAGGCAGGGCCAACGAAGTTTCTTCTGGGGACTGAGCAGGGTATTGTACTTAGCCTAAAAACAAGACCGAAACGACCCCCAGAAATCAATCAATGGTTTGGCTGGGAAGAAGGGCAACACTGCGGCACTGTAAGAGCAGTTAGGCGGCATCCATTTTATGGTAAATACTTTCTGTCAGTTGGCGACTGGACAGCTAAAGTATGGATGGAGGAAGTGCGTACCCCGATTATCACAACACCAAACCATCTCGCATTCCTCACAGATGGTCAATGGAGTCCTACACGTCCTGGCTTGTTCATGGTGACGCGCACTGATGGCTTCTTGAGCTTTTGGGACTATTACTACAAGCAGCAAGAGGTCGCGTTCCAGCACAAGGTTGGGACTTCTCCTTTGACTTGCCTTTCTGTTCATCCACAAGGCGAAATGGTTGCTGTAGGAGATGCTGACGGGCGGGTGACTGTGCTGGTCCTGTGCGAAGGACTTTACGTCGCTGCACCTAACGAGAAAGCTGCTGTTTCTTCGATGCTTGAGCGTGAGGCTAGGCGTGAGAAGAATATTGAGGTCACAAAACGGCAAACTGAGTGCAAGAGACAGGAGGAGAAGCCTCAAGCTCGTCCACGCAGTGCTGCTGTTCAAGAAGCTGTTGAAGCCGCCCGCACTGCGTTTTTCAAATCTATGGGGAAAGAGTATGAACCATCACAAGAATAGGGGAAAACAGAATGGAGACAGCTGCTAAAAGATCATCATTTAATTCGCGATTGTTTGACTCCCTTTCAGTTACTTGAACGTAGTTCTCGCCGTGGTGCTCGATAGGCTTTTGCAACTGAACAGGTGAAGTTGCACGTTTGTCAACGTAGTGCTGCAGCTCCCAGGCCGGTCTAAGACTCATGAGCAAGTTTTCCAAAGTTGTATACGAACCCCTGGCGCACTACAAAACTACACGAAGTGATCATTTCCGGTTCCATTAATTGAGCAGAACGTCTAATTCCCGGTCTTCAGGACTATATATAAGTTGCGGATGAGCACAGAGCAGCGGGAGCTCTCGGTGGTTACATAATGTGACTTTCTAATGTCCACAGCAGAAGAATAGAGCCTGGCGACAAATAGCTTGCAAATTGCTTAACAAAACTATGACCAACTTCACTTCACGTTTAGATACCACCACAGAGTGGCGTACGGCCAGTGCGTTCAGTATGGTTGTGGCAAGAGCTCCGGTTCGTGACACTTTTTCTAGTGAACTCCTGGTGTCCTGAAAGCTATGCGAAAACAGATACCAACTAGCAAATGCTGTGTCTTCCCTTGGCTAGCAAGGAATGTGTGGAATGTAAATTTGAAACGGCGTCGGTAAACCCTTTTTGCTCCCAGACGAAAATCTTTTAGCACTACTCCCACAGTGTAGCAACCCCACGAATGGGCTATTGGGCAATCAACGCTGGGATTGGATTCACGTTGACTAAGGCAGCGGACTGCCTGTTGGGGGGCCGTGTTCCTTCGGTAAAGAACTACAGCAGCACACATTATTGCAATAGTTTCAAAAAATAATCAAACCCGAAAGAAAGATCAACCAGTGCACTAAAGGGCAGAGCATCCTGAGGAACACAATACGGAAAGGCTTCCACCAACGCGTGTTCGTAGATTATAGGAGATCTCAGGTGTGGAATGATCTTTCATACCAGCGGAACATACTACACACGTGCTAAGTATGAAGTTTTGTTGCAGCAGTGTGTTCCTTGCCTCCGAGTTCTGCGAATCGACCCTGTCCATACACAGGCATTCTGTCGCTACACTATTGTCTGCTTTTCAGAATACGTCATTCCAGATAACAACGCAGCATCTGAATCTTTGCCGACTAAAGACATGTTGTCATATTAGCTCTGTTTGGTTCTCGTACGGTTGTGCAACGTTAAACGTTGTGAACTGTGTCAAACAGATCAATGCAAAAACTAAAAGTGCAAGGTGGCTTGAAAAAAAAAAAGCATTTCAAGGGCTGCATTCCACATATACAAAAACCTGGCACTTTAAAGCAGCTGAGAGCTCAAATGTAAGGCGTGTTGGCGTTATGCTTCTGCCAGCACCTATCCAAAGAGGGCTGCGATGACCTCTACGTGGGCATTTTGGAAGCGTATACGGCACAGAGTCATATGTGTTGTTAGTATGTTTCAAAACACCTCTACATTGGAGGATGGATACAGAACCATTCAAATCATGCTGTGCACGCTCGTTTCCATAAATTGACGGGGAATGTTTGAGTTTTCACAAATTCTAAGGTGCTGCAGGGAGTGCGCACGGCAATCAGTCGTCAGTGTGTGGTGCAAGTGGAGCTTCAGCACTATCTCCTTGGCAAATTTGTTGTAGTTTACGCATAGATTTATCTCTGGGGTTAACTGCGGAGCGGAATTCTTCACTTATTAGCAGCAAGATGGAGTTCAGGCGCTCTGCTTGCCACGCTTCAAAAGAAAGCTTGTCAGCCTCGGCAGGCTTCTCCTGTAAGTCAATCAAAAAAATGGGAAGCAATGGTTGCTGTGCCTCTCCTACTTTTGTGTTGTGTTCTGTGCAGCCGTAGTTTCTGTGAAGGCCTTTGTGGCGGCCACTTGGGCCCTCAAATCTGTGCAGTAACCTTGTGATGGGACCTCAGTTTGCGTGCTAACAGCACTCGCCAACCACTGATGAAGGATACCCAGCACCAAACATCCGCCCTCCTTTGGTTTTCAGTGTATTGCTAGTGAATACTGGCTGGCTTTGCGTACGGCCACTACGTTACGTTAAAGCTACGGCCTTGAATAAATTACCAGGAGTTTCTAGATTCCTTAGGAAGAGCTGTTGCTGCCATAGGCACTACTTTTGCCGTTATGTGCATAGCTTCAAAGGCACATTCAGAACTAGATAAAGACAACTCTACTGGCTTACCGCTTTTTTCGCGAGTCTCTGGGGAAGCTTAATAATGCTCACTGTGCCCCCTGTTTCGGCTACGGCTAGAACGAAGGTCTTCGAATTAAAGCAGATCCGGGCGCTAGCTGCATCACTGCATACCTGCGTGAAACCCACTCAAAAATGTTTGCAGACACCTTCGTCCCCCTCAATAGACTTTTAGGAACTTTCACAAAGTCTGCCGTTGCTGTGTATTGTGCAAGAGCGGCTTCGGGCGGTCCGATGGTCCACTCAGCAGCAGCTGGTATACCAATAGCGCTGCAGGAGTTTAGCCTGCTTCAATAGAATAATAACGGTACTACAGACGACATACTTTTTGAGTTAGGACGGGAAGCCTTCGGTGTTGGCTTAGATCGTGCAGATGCAACTGTTAGCAACATCACAGTGTATCAGACTGAATGTTCGTCTGCTTAACAGTACATCGTCGCACTTCTGCACTGCAAATCCTGCCTACCTGTGCTTAATGTGGCTGCATCATAATGCATAGCTCTAAAGGCAACCAATCTCTCTGAAAAGACCATGATTGCTGGGATGCAGTGTATGGTGAGGCTGGTGAGGCTGTTATTTTTCTGTGTTGCGTCGCACCATGCCATTTGTTGTCAGCACAGCGAATTGTGTTGAGCTGTACGGGGCCCAGGCCACATCGCTCACTGGCTGTACACAAGTAATGAATTCGAAACGAGCCGTCCCTGAACGTCGCGGTGCTTTTTACGTTACCAAGAGCTCAATGCCACGAGCTAGCATCTACAGAATCACTCGGACAATACCGTGCAATTGAAGTAGCCTTTATTGCTGCTTCCCGCAGAAATCTTCAGACACGTACTGTTCCATAATCGAGCGTAACAATACTGTGCTGCAGTCGATCGTCCCACACCATTACTCGCCAGTCGGCCGAGGCAGATAGAAAAATGTGTTCATTGAAAGGACTCCAATGCAGGGTATTCACTGGCATGCTGTGTCCTAAGCGTAACAAAGCAAATCAAAAGACTATTTTTTGCGAGATCATGTGACGATTTGCTATACTGTTGTCTTTGCCCCCAAGAAAACAGCCAGTACACCTGAAGGCTTTCGCTTCACCTCGCTATGCTGTAAAGGTGTAACTACAAGGTGTCACGCCATTTTTTCAAAAGCTTGCCTTTGAATAAGCTCAGAAACTGGCCACTGTAGTCGGTGGAGCACTTAAAAATGGCTCCTTCCTCGGTCCCGACAACAAAAATCTGTGGCAATGCTGGGCAGAAGTCGAAGCAGAGTCCGGTAGCGAGAGAGAGGAGAGTTGACGATCCATTGCCTGTCGATGACTCGCCCTCCCCAAGTGCTCCTGAATCGCGTTTCAGTGTCAATAGCTGCAAAAGACAGCGTATATGCCTGCAAGCTGCAAAAATCAGAGTCCATGTCATAGTCCTTTGCCCAGTCTACGTTAAGCCGTCAGCTAGCTTCAGTCGTGCTAAGGGCCTTAATACGAAACGGGAGATATGAATTTATTTGACTGTAGCTCAGTCAACGTTGCGAATATCTTGCCCACCACTTCTGATTCTAGCTTGCTCTTCAGAAGAGTCCAGCGCATGATGCAGCCATCAGCCGAAACCGAGAAGAAAGACAGTTGACTAGTGGAAGCATCAGCCTCCCAGCGCACTGAAAAGAGGGCGTCAACAATACCAGCGGCGCCACAATGAATATTTCGTACTAACTGTAACTTGTATGCCTTTCTTTTTTGCTTTCCTCCAAGATATACTGGCATAGACCGCATATTTCATTAATACTGCTGTGAAGCAGAAACGGGGACGTACCATCCCAGACAGGATCCGTGTGCTTTCCTGTTTTGACTGTGGAGTAGTGCCATGGCCGCTTGCTGGGCGACATTGCGTCGAGAACTGCCACGTTACCATCATAAAGGCCCACGCACAACAATGACGGTTGGAGGGGATGCCAGTCGAGACTGCACACTTTCTGCACAATGCCACACTGGCAGTACAGCTTATCTGGCAAACGGCTTGAGGCCCTTATACGGAAATCCTTAAGGGGTTGGAAACACATTTCTAAATTTTTTGAGGGCAAGTTCTTCCTCTGGCTCCGTATTATTAACTTAAATGCTTCAAATGCGTGTTGGAGGAAAACTGGCCTTACAGAGTCAAGTTTCCAGGAGTATTCAGGATGGGGTGTATTCTTGAGTGAGAAGCAGCAAACGTAGCCGCAGCCCTGTTTAACATATTCGTAGTTTCCTACATAACCAGAGCAACAAACTTCGTGCCTTCAGAAAGGAGCCTGTGTGTGATATTTATAACTTGCAGACTCATTCTGGTGGGTAGAAGCTTGCTAGAAACGTCCAACAGCAGCCAAAAATGCAGACATGGCGGAATACGCAGGGGATGAAAAACTTAAACGTCCAAGGCTTCAATCTATGGCTGAACACCACAATGCTTAGCATGCATCAAAGGACAAACCGAAGCCAACTGCTAGAAGGTCGTGATAGTGTGGATTCCACCGAAGGACCATAGCATCTTTTCCCCTAGCTCGCGGAAAGCGGAGCTCCCAAATCGGAGTCACGAGCAAGGGTGAGTCGACCGGCTCTTCATCGGTGGACTGAAAAATCCGATAGGCCTCCTGCTGAGAGTTAAAGCTTACAACACGTTCCAAAACCTGCGCACGCATGACGCATTATGTCAAAGTGTAATCGACTCTGCGGTCAAGCCCTATCATGAAGCACAATATTTTTGATGAACCCTTGCAGCAGGCTGGCGAAAAATGCTTTGCAGTTAGTAGTTAAGCTGCGGCTCCGAAGG